AGATGTATTTAATTTTAGCAATATTACGCAGGTGGAAGAAGGCAGTTCTAGTGACATTTTTAATGTGGGGGATAAAAGACATGTCCTGATCCAAAATAACACCAAGATTTTTAACATTAGAGCTGGAAGACAGATTAATGCCATCTAAGGAGGGGGAAAGACTGAAAAATTCATTCCTAAGGTTCTCAGGTCCAAAAACCAAAACCGCAGTCTTGTCTGTGTTCAAAAGGAGCAAATTAAGGGTCATCCAGGTTTTTATGTGTTTAAGACATGCTTTTAGTCCAAGTAGCTGATTGGATTCATTGGGTTTAATGGACAAATATAATTGTGTGTCATCAGCATAACAATGAAAATGTATCCCATGCTGTTTAATAATTTTACCTAATGGAAGCATAAATAACGTAAAGAGTATTGGTCCAAGCACTGAACCCTGAGGAACTCCATGACTAACTTTGATGTATGAAGAAGATTTATTATTTACATTTACAAACTGGAATCTATCAGATAGATATCACTTAAACCATTTTAGAGCTGTTCCTGTATTTCCAACATCAGTACATTACTGTACTGTATTTATGTCCACCTGCTGACGTTATGTTCAGTGTAACATCAGTGTTCAGCTGCAACGAAGCTAACTGAGATCTGATGGACAGATCTGACAGGAATATTTTTCTAACAAGCATACTCACAATTTCAGTAGCTTTAGTTCATTATCATTATCAACAGATATGCACCAGAATTGGAGTTTTGTTTAAGTTCTAGGATATAAATAAATACAACTAGGGAGAATATAGGAAATAGAAATAAGATTGACCTCCTTTGTACAATGTTTTTGTGTAGACACAAATCTCCTGTTTTCATTTTGAAGGTTTCCCAAAGAAAAATATGTGAGGAAGAGGTGGAAGTATCCAGTGGTGGGATGTAACTAAGTACAAATATTTTGTTACTGTACTTAAGTACATTTTTCATGTATCTGTACTTCACTTAAGTAGAGTTAAATGTGGGTACTTTATACTTTTACTTCACTACATTTTACATCAAGTATCTGTACTTTCTACTACACTACATTTCTATAATGCGTTGCATTACAAGTTACATTCATGTTGTGGCTTTTTGATTTGTTTGTTACTTTGAAAGTAACCAATGGTGAGAGGGGAGTTGGTCCATTGAATCACTGCAAAGTGGGCAGGTAACGTTAGGCCTGCCTTCAAGAAGAGCTGGACCAATGACATATATTCTAGTATATATGTCACTGAGCTGGGTGCACCCACAGTACCGCTAACACAACAAAAATGTATTCCACCGCAAGAGAGTCAGCCAGAAGATATGCGCCACCCATGGCCTTATTGAAAGATTATTGAAAGACTGCTCAGTACAACAGGACACCTTCTCTCTCCCAAAAGAGACAGACTGGACCCAAAAATCTTTGAAAACCAACTTCTTCTGAACTTGAACAAGAAATTCTTGCTGCAATATTAAAATGTGTCAGTTCATGGGATGTTAGGAGACAAGAGATGTCTCCAAATGGCTCGACACTCAGGTCCAAGTTTTAAAAATGGTGTCAAGAAGTTAAAATATTGTTCAATATTGACCCATTACAAGGTTTAGACAGTATTTTAACTGAGCATGACCTTTTAACTTGAACGTGCATCAGGATATTTTAACTACAGTTGACAAACTGGAGTTGAAATATCAGTGGAAATGATCAGAGCCTATTTCTTTGTTAGGTCTAATACTCCTTTTTTTCAGGCAGACAACTTTTACTTAAATGTGTTTACCGCAGTTAAAATGACACATTGGTTTTACTTTGTGTTAAATAAAAACTTTCAAAGGTCTGGACAGAGAGGAACGATGGTTTGAGAGAGGAGTAAAGGAGGCCATCTTTGTGAAAAGAAATCGTCCATCGTTAAACAGGGGTGGAGGCCTCCGGGTTCAACTGTCCCCCTCTTACAATGCTGTGATTGCTAGTATCACTCAGCCCGCTGTAAACAGTAAACAGCCATCAGTGTGCTAATGATCCATTGTTAGGCTGATGGTCCTTCTTGAGCATGTGATCAGCTGGTTTTGGTTGTCAGCAGCAAAACTGGTTGATCCACTCTGAGACGGTGCTATTTAAGAGACTGAGCTGAATACAGCTCCTCAGACTGAGGAAGTCTCTCGGATGAGAGACGAAACATTTCTACATTTTTTTGTTGATTTGCTTTGTTTTGTGTTTTTTTTTTTATGTCCAGAGGACCAGATTTAACCTTTTTAGATTTCAAAGGTATAATCATTCCTCTTTCTTATTTTAATTAATGACATTTAACTCTGCAGGTCATCCCTGAAATTCTGACGCACAGAATCATGAGTCCAAGTGTGAAATGTGTCACAGAGTTGTAGTGAACCAAGCCTCAGGTCAAATCCTGACCTTGAGGGCCTTCCTGGGACAAGAACTGTATTTCATTGATTTGAGTCCAGAAACACAAAATCAAGTCCATCCAGAGACTTTCTAAGTGTCCTGCACTGTTCAAGTGAAAGAACACTCTCTTTTTTATTATCATTACTATTTTCTTGATAATCAAAGTGTGTTTAGTTCAAACCATTTTTAAATGTTGAAGTGAACTACTCATTTTAAATCAACTGTGAAACAGTATTAATGAATTTTTAATCCTCATTCAAAGTAGAAATCAAGTTAGAATGTGTTAC